TCTCATTTCTTAGCAAAATAGTCAATTTAGTGCTGAATTATGGGGGAATCATTGTGCTGTGAACTATCATGCAATAAGAACTGGATTGAGAGTTGGAAGAAGAAAGAAGCTATTTGCATCATAGTTTAGCTTGGATTCAAGCCTGGATATCAAATGCTTGTTTAAAGTGGGTTAAGACTATTAGCAGAGATAAAATTGAAGTATCAGCAAATACACTAATGGAGCAGGGGTCCAACTCCCCTCTCCTCTAGTTCCTGTTCTCTACAGTGAACAACAAGAAGTGGGAATTGGAGACTCACCTCACTGAATGTCTTGCGCTCTTCAGGGTTACAACTACAACGGCAATTTACTTTTTCAACAAAAAATATTTCTATCTAATGGGGATAGAAAGTACTAAGAAGCTATGACCTGAAAGTCAGGCTAGATTTTGGCACAGAAAATGTGAGACAACAGATATTGTGGCACACTTAACTCAACAGGCCATAAAACTTCTCTTCATAAACCCTGCATGTTTTAAAATACATTTATGCCAATTACTCAAACAGAATACTATCAAGTAAAAATATAGAAGTATGGGTATAAAATGGCTAATACAAAACTTTGAACAAGTTAAACCTCCACTATTATTTTTCTTCCAGTGACTGTTAACATTATACTTTAGTACTTGAAGAACAAGCAACTACATTCAAGCATTTCCTATTTTACAAGACCTGTACATTTCTGATTTTGTGCCTAACTTATGCCAAGATATTCAGACAATACAAATAAGGAAATCCTCTTATACAAATTCATCATGACACTTTCAAAATTAGGCCACAAGATTTAATCTTTCCATAGACATACTCAAATTGGCACTCTACGGAAATAAACTGAGAAAAGAGATTGGTGCAGTTTAAGTGTTGTAACCTTTTGGGATCATCTGTAGTAACATCAGCTCTTATTCTTGTATAAGAAAATCTATATTACAGACACACCAACTGAAACTATAAAGTAAATTTGCTTATACATATAGATTTTGAAAATAATTTATTTTAGGGTTATTTTTCCCTTACACAATTATTAGAGTTATATTCAAGACATGTATTACAGTTACCACAAAATACAGAGAAATTATAGCTTGTTTTACAGTTTACCAAACAGTAAAGATTAATATAAAAACAAATTACGAATGTAATAAATAAATTTACAAATCAAATACATAGAAAATATCTACAAAGCCTTTCTGTACTGGAATATCCATCTGAGACAGAACGCTCACTCTTTCAGAGTGGTACCAAAAACAATTTATCCTTGTGCAGAAAAAAAAATCCTCCACATTTACTATTTGCACTGAAATCTATTTTCTTCCATAAGTGGTAATGAAAGCATAGCATTCATTGCAATACCCGTTGCACTTATTATTGCCAAAATGGTCACAGCCGGTAGCGTGGCAACGCTGCTTTGGTGGGTGACTTAGGAGAGGATCCCGGATGGTGCCACGATTGTTATGCCGACATTCTAAACAAAGTTCACTGTCAGTGGATGTTACATAGTTGTTACAATAATTCCTTGCACATTTAGTCCTCTGGCTCCTCAACTCACTGTGGTCGGAAGGTCGATGTTGTGATGCATTCTACGAAAAGTGCAAGTTAAAGAAACAAATCATTTCACCTTGAAGTCTGCAATACGTGCACAAACAAACCTTACTCATTTTCTACATTTTCTCTGCCTCTCATCAAATCTTTGCGCTGAAAGCACAAGCAAGTAGAATCAGTCTGTCCCTTTTTTGTGATATGAGGTATACAGGGATTCATTTTCGCTTCCTAAAAAGTGATAACACTTTTGCATTGACGTCACAGAGGACATAATACAAAGGCTTTACATGGTGGCGATGATTCAATTACGGAATGTGTCGCCTTTCCAAATCCTTCTATTTCTAGGAAACTCAAAAGCTAAGTTCTGACTAGTATTTCAGAACTGAAAAGTGAAATAGTGAAATGTCATAAATGTGATTACAGTAACATTTAGAGTCATACAGCATTTCACTTCAGTTTTCTGATCCATTTTTGCTAATATTTCAGCTTTTTTTTTACTATAATTATGTTACAAAGTAAAACCATATTGATTATAATCTACTCAAAAAAAACTTCAGAACTTTGGTCACATTCTTTGAACTTTATTGAACAGCTAGCATAGAAGTATGAAGTATTATTCTCTCTTGATAGTCACCAAATTCTTAGGTGTTAACAAATTCTGTGTTGTGAAAGCTGATTAGAAGTTGACTATTGCCACTGTTTCCCAAACAGCAAGTTATATATTCAGCTATGCAACTGGTGGGCCAATAGCTATGCTAACATTGAGACAGTAGATTTTCTATTTGTTTTCTTTTGGCTGGGAGGGATTTTGTGGGAAGACCTTATGAGCAACACAGAGAAAATATACAGAAGAGCACAATTATGAGAGTTAGGAGGGTATATGTTTATTAAAGTGTTGTTTAAAATTGTTTCGAATTGTATACATCACAAGCTACTCACAGAGCTGGAACGGTCTCTAGATCCCGTAGCTTCATTGTATCTCTGATACTGCGTATCTATGAAGCATTTTTGGCAATATCCTTCAAAATGACTATTTCCAAATGTGTTGCAGTCTTGACCCCGACAACTAGCCATGTTCTGGAATCGGTGATCAGCTGGAGGTGGCCGGTGAGAAGGTTGCACGTTCCTTTGTATTCTGTTCTGATTAACAGTTTCATCTTTGAAAAGCAAAAGGGAAAATGATTAAATGCAGTTTCAACTCCTGTTTTTAAAAAAGAAGCCACAAGAAATGCTGCGCTGTACAACAATATTTGATTATGGAAAAAATTAGAATCATATCAATTCTGAATAATGATGACCCCCAGACTGTCACCCATCACTCATTTTTGTTTTGTCTTTTTTCTGAAATGTGTTTAAAACAACATTTTGTAGTATACACTAGCAGAACTGATACCCACGGATCTACATCTTTCACTGGATGATAGAGGGTTACACATAATCAAATATAATACAATTAATCCCTGCATAATTATCATAGACTTTTTTCTTTCACATTGAAGTACACTTCTTAAAACCAAAATCTGATAAAGTGCCTTTAGCTTGAAGCACACTGAACCAAAAAGCAGAAAATGGTGCTCTCAGCCCTCTCTTTCCGCCTCACACACCACCATCCCTCACCCTCCTCCCAACCCCAAGCCCCACCCTCTCACACACAGAGAAAAATACAAAAACAAAATGACTAACATTAAAGATTTCTTTACCATGAAAACGTTCAAGATTTTTCTGTAACAAGATTATTGGAGTCTGTGACATTTATTACTACTTACATCCATGTGTTACTGACATCAGATAGACTCATTGAACATAAAAATTACATTCATATTCAGGAATCAAAAAGTGAGGGGTTTTTGCGTATTTTTGGAGCTTGTTCTGAAGATATTTGAATGAACTAAAAATTTCAGGAGAAATCAAAATTGCGGCTATGAAATCTGTAGAAAGATCTGGCATAGAATCATTGGATCCCTACGATGTGGGAGCAGGCCATTCAGCCCATCGAGTCACACTAACCCTCCAAACAGCATCCCACCCAGACCCACATCCCCCTACCCTATCTCCATAACCCTGCATTTCCCATGGCTAAGCCACCCAGCCCGCAAATCCCTGGACACTATGGGCAATTTAGCATGGCCAATCCACCTAACCTGCACATTTTTGGACTGTGGGAGAAAACTGCATCATCCAGAGCAAACTCGGGCAGACAGAGGGAGATTGTGTGCAAACTCCACATAGACGCCAGAGGATGGAATCGAACCTGGTCTGTGGTGTTGTGAAGCAGTAGTGCCAACCACTGAGTCACTGTGGCAAATGGCAGAAAAGTACAGCTGAAGGTAGACATTTTACCTGGGCCCAGCTCTTTCAGGCAGCCTAATTGGAATGGAGTTTACTTAAAATAAAACACTTTATTTTAAAAGCCATGACAATAATGGCAATGACTAATTTTCAAACTAGAGAGAAGATTTTTCACAGAGCCATCACAGAACTGAACTGGTCAAGATAATCAATAGTTTTCAGTCAGCTTGTGACGTTGTCAACAAATGCATTCTTGCAGAAAGGGCATGAATCACTTTGCCTGAATAGAGTACACAACTTACCAAGGTTTCTTCTATATTCAATAAAGCAGATGGTGCAATAACCCTCATGCTCTTTTGTTCCAAAATAGTGGCACCCAGAGTTCTTACATGGTTGGAAACCTTCCTTCAGTTCCTCAGGGATGTAGGTGGCTCGGCCCTTCTGGGTGCTTTGAGGAACATGTGGCCCAGCGGTAGAAGTCCATACATGAGAGGTTTGATATTGATCAGGCGTTGAGAGGTGACCCATATTCCTTATAATCTGGCTTGGATCTGAATGTGACCTCTCATGGCCCGAACGGAAAGAGCTAGAGTCCTCATGGGAAGATGAAGTATTTCCTTGAAATGTCCTCAACAAGCACATATTACACAATCCGTTAATTGTTTGCAGAGTGTCCTGGTGACATCTGTCACACTGACTGTGCTCCTGATTCAACAGGTTACCAGCACCTTGTTTAGTCCTTGTATTCTCCCAGGTTGAACCCACTCTCTCTGAGCTGGACTCTCTGTGACAAGGCATTCTCACCTCAGCAGTTCTATTATCAGTTGTGTTGCCTGGCACAGCTCTCCTGGTCTTAAAGCATCGCTCGCATAGTCCATTGTGCTGCACATTTAATGTGAAAGGGCAATTGGGAACCTTGCATTTCATGGCATTTGTTTCACTGAAGAGAGAAAGACTAGGAGCTGTTGGCGGTGCTGAACGTGGTCGAGATGATCGTTCTGGTTCTGTAGGTGTGGTTGCAGTGATAACCAGCTCAGTCCGAGGAGGGCAGCACCCTTTCTTTTTCTGCTGCTGCTCACGATTTTTCATGTTGCCGTCCATCTTCATGCTCTTTGCCTGCTCAAAACACTCATGGCAATACGGCTTTGTCTCTACAGAACAGTAGAAAAGGCATCCGTATGTGGCACATTTTTCTTCAATGAGAGACCCAAGATATGCAGCATTATTCATTCGGATCTGGTTACGAGCAGGCCTATTGCTCTCAGTTGGATTCTGCTGCCATCTCTTGTATTCATGATTCACCAGCTGGTAGTAATCTTCCACTAAATTCAAGTCTTCTGGAAGGTTGCCTTCATCCAACCTGAAACCACAAAATTAATGCAGGTTTAAAATCCATGCCTTGTAAACTTCATTTAAAAAAAAAACCCAACTATATTACAGAAATGAATTTCTTCGTGTCTCCAACACGGAGCCAGCTGGACATAATGGGAAACAACAGTTGTGTTCCTAGAGTAACATGCCATTAACTCCTGTAAATCTGCTGATCTTCCACCAAAAATTGGCAAAACAAACATTTCTTTAGTGAAGCAGTGATGGAAAAAGCTTCAATATTCAACTGACGTTTGCTCTACAACACTGAACAATGTACACAGCATTATTCAAGAGCCTGATGCACAACATTTAAGTCTGAGTGAAGAGTTTCAAGAGAAATTTTATTTTTGATAGTTAGATTTAACTCATAAGATGGAAGTAGCTGTGCATTAATGACAAGAAATTAACCATTGTATTAGACACCATAGCAGTGATTTAAGACACCCCTAGATGTTTCATTTGTATTATTGCCTGACTGGAAGTGGTAGGCAGATGTGCAGTTTTGCTTTACACAATGCAGTCACATGCAAAAATGAAGTATGTTTCTAACCAACAAATGGTACTGACAGAAAACAGGGTGCAACTAATCAATAAGTGAGCTACTTTACCTCGCAGCTTTAATTAAATGAGTGGTACCAAACTCCAGACCCTGGACTGGTATTTCAATAAGATTGAAGTACTCCTCCAGCAGTTTGGCTTTATTTTCCTCCTCTTTTGGTATTAGAAAGTGCACTGTGAACTCTTCAAATCGTCTTCTTTCATTGTGGACCAATGGAACAGCACGAATTTCTGTTTGAGCAGAACAGTTGACATTAAACAATTGTTCTCAGCACCTTCCTGTGGAACAAAGATTCACGTTGTGTGCAAACTTGTGGAAACTACAGCTCAGAATTATACTCTCTGTGGAAGCAACAAATGAGTAATGGATTAGCCACAATAATGGATTTAAATAATACAGGATGGATCAGCTAAGTATCAATTGCTTACTCTGCAATGCTGTTAGCAAGGAAGAAGTTACTTTAAAAAACAGGAAATAGCAAAACTCTTTGTAAGAATCCCAAAAAAGAAATCTCTGGATTACCATTATCTGTCTTACAGTCATGAAATTCTATACATAACTTTGGTTTTAAAATGATGGAGTCAGGTGATAGACATCTTAGTCCTGAAATCTGTCAGGTTCCTGGTTGGGGTCAGAAATTTGGGGTAAGCTCAGTTACACACATTCAGCTGCCATCACCCACATGTAGACTATCATAACATTTTCCTGCACAGCATTCTTCTGGTCAACACACCTTGCAGCTCCACTGGTTTCTCTGTCTGTCTGTCTGTCTCTCTCTCTCTGCACCATTCCCCTTCCCCAATCTCCATGCACTTCACATCACTATCATCTCAACAGCCACTAGTCACCATGATTTTACTGTTCTCTTCTACTTGTACCTCACAGTTACCTTCTACAAATATTCTCCCTTCCTGCTATTCACACTAGCCCTAGCTAATGGTCATAACCTACTGCTTGCTCCTTTCTCCTTCACAGAGGGCAAACACTGGGGAGAGGGTGAGACCTAAAAAGATGGGAGAGAAGATCAAAAGACCAAAATGGGGCTGTACCAACAAGAGAATAAAGTTTGGCCTGATAAACTCATGGGTTGGTGTATAATTCCAACACTTTCTATGTTTAACTTCCCACCATTTCCAGATCTTAAAACTTTTTACATGTGACTACAAATAATAAGACATGGACAATTTGCTAAACAAGGCCCTAACAAAGGATGCAGCAATGGCAGAGTGGTGTTGTCACTAGGCTAGCAATCCAGAGACCCAGGTGATGTCCTAGGGTCCTGGGTTTAAATCCCAACACGGCAGATGATGGCACTTGAATTCAATAAACAAAAATCTGGAATGAAAAGTTGAACAATGGCCATGAAATCATTGTCAATTGTTGTTCGTTCACCAATGTCTTTTAGGGGAAGAAACTTTTGTTCTCATCTGCTCTGATCTGCATATGACTCCAGACTCTCAACAATGTAGTTGACTCTGAAATGGCCCAGCAAACACTTTGTATCCAAAGGGAGTAAATACTGGCCCAGCCAGGAATGCTCACATCTCGTGAGTGAATTAAGAAGTGAAAATTTAGATTGATTTAAGAGAAATAACGTTTAGATACCTGGACTTCTGTCATCGATGGTAACAAGCGGAGAAAAATGTTGCATGTCATAGCCCAATACGATGGGATATTTATAGCATTCTTGTGGTGGCCAATGCAGTGGCAGGTAAATTCCTCCAAAATGCAAGGGAGCCAAGCTTGTGTTGGTACTAAAGCTTCTCAGCACCCTGTCTGTTGAAAGGAATTACTGCTTGTTAAAAACAACATTCTAAAAGAAGCATTTCACTCTGTAGAAAACATTTTGTGCTTTGAAAGTGAGATTTTAATTGAAATTTCTAAAAGGTAAAATACACATAACAAACCCCCAACCACCTCTGCAAATGTGTGTTAGTTCGGATACAACACAGATTACATTTCTGTTCAAAACATCAACTTCTAACCTTATTGACCAGTTATGTTGCAATTCACATTAGAATAGATGACGGTGGAATGAATTTACAGACACTACAGTATGAATTAATCCTGAACACAAGCCAGGATTCATTAACCACTATTACTGTTACTCTCACTTTTTCTTTCCTGGAGGCAAGCAGTCCTCCTGATACAAGATTTCATGGGATCAGCAGCCCTTCAGTGGCTTGCCCACTTCTTTCATGAGTTACTTATCATACAGAATTTCACATCAATCCCAATCTTGTCCTCATCTGATCACAAAATACACCCTTCTCAACCTAATACTAACCAATAACTGGTATTCTGGGTGACGTTGAACCCGGTCTCCACTTGGCTAACTGTAGGATTATTACCAGAGGAGCTGACAATCAATTTTCTAAAGGAGACCACTGCCACCGATGTATAAAGGACTTTAAAAAAAAACTATGTAAAGTCCAATAAATGAATTTGTTTTAAATTGCAACAGAAACATGAAATTCCTAGATCTATTGCCAAGGTAAACAATAAGTATATGCCTAAATACCATTTAATAGAAAGTGTTTGCACTTCACACCTCTTCCAGACTTCCATTTACTCTGATGAAAGTGAAAAACAGACTGCTGTGTAAATACAATCATCCACACAAGTCTCCACTCAATTATATCCTCCATGTATGAAAAGAAGATTAATAACCAGTGAAGAATTAGCTTCCTTTTATACTTTCCACGCATGCCCCCAATCCAGTACTTTGTCAAACACTCACCAGCAATAACAATGATTGGTCTTTTAAGGATATTGGCAAGAACAAAGATGTGGATTTCCTCTAGTGAATCGAAAGGTAGTCCAGGCTGGCCTAGATGTGAACCTACAGATGACATTTTCACCACTTTCTCCCATTCTTCATCCCAGTTCTGCAGAAAAAAATGGGTTGTTGTCAGAAATAACAAATACATTACACAAAGCAAAATCACCACATAAAATTTAAATACAGTCTCTTCACCAAAATCAGTGCTCAGTGTAATTAAATTAAACTTTTTTCCAAAGGATTACCACCAAACAAATTATGACTGAGCTAGATTTTTCTGAAGAAGGGTCTAGGCCCGAAATGTCAGCCTTCCTGCTCCTCTGATGCTGCTTGGCCTGCTGTGTTCATCCAGCTCTACACCTTGTTATCACTGAGCTAGATGATTTTGTAGTAAACACTGAAAATTCCTTATTCACCTTGGTGTCATACTGGAGGCCTGTGGCTTCAAATTCTTGTGATCGGATACATTCAATCTGCCACCGTAATTTGAAGTTTCTGGTGTCCGTTTCTTTTAGAGCTTCCCATAGTGTTCTCCGAAGGATAGGGTCAATGTCCTGAACTCCCCACATAAATTGGGATGTGGCATGCAACAAACAGTTTCCATCACCTGAGAGAAATAGATAGGGGAAAGAAACAAAATTAATCGAAGTTTTGCATTCAGAATAGAAAGCAGTATCCTTTAGGTTAAAAAAATGTCATAGTTTGTCTCCGAGTTAATATGTTGGTTGATTATAAATATTTTTAAAAAAAATTGTATGGCCTCTAGGTTCAGGACGAAAACTTTATTTATGTCAGAGAAACCATTCAAAACTAGTCCGCTGTTGATTGTGTTAACAAGCCCAGAAAATTTTTAGTTCACCAATGCACCAACTCAAAATATGCTTCATTGCTGTAACAATATGACATATAAACTGTAAGTAATTTCCCAGAATTCATTGGAGAACACAACAACATTTGTTCATAGAATATAAGTATCACTTAAAATGGAGCTATTTCCAAGAACTCACTCACTACCTTATCAGTCAGACACTAGTAACCCAGTAATAATTGCAGTGCTTGCAAGCTGCAGGCCATTCATTTTGGTGCTTGAAAGGGAAATGACAAATCCATATTTTGAAAGTAAAGCAACTGGGATCCCACCAAATCTCACTGCCCTTTGGTCTGCTTGAAATTTGAGGCACACTTCAGGTTTGTTATTCATTCCATTAATGAGCCAAACCTTTGATGCTTTAGGCAGAATGACAGGAATATTATCTCACACTAGAACTGGTGAAATGATTGGAGTTGAACTGCAAACAGTAAAGAAAGCAACTAAGGCCCATATGCAGAGTTGAAAAGCATAACATTAAATGATTTTTCATAAACAATGTGGATTAATGCAAAACATTAACTATACAAATACAATTTACACCTTCTTGCTAAAAACACAATATGAGTTAAAGGCAACAGTTTATGTACAAGGCCTTATATCAAGGCCTTACACATGATGGGCACTGTCTTGTTGAAGACTGAGGTACAGGGATAGAGGAGGCAATGGCCTAGCGGTATAATTGTTCGACTATTAATCCAGAGACTCCGATAATGATATGGGGATCTGGATTCAAATCCCACAATGCAGATGGCGGATTTAATTAACAATCTGGAATTAAGAGTCTAATGATGACCATGATGAAACCATTGTCAATTGTCAGCAAAACCCCACTCATATCCGTCTAGGAAGGAAATCTGCCATCCTTACCTGGTCTGGTTTGCATGTGACTCCAGACCAACAGCAATGTGGTTGACTCTTAATTGCTCTCAGGACAATTATGGATGAGCAATAAATACTGGCCTTGCCAGTGATACCCACATCCTGTGAACAAATAAGGAAAAAAAAAAGTGTCTGAGGTACAGGGGAGGGTTATCAGGGTGCAGTGGAGTGCCCCTATCTCTGAGCCAGCAAGCATTAGTTAAAGGTCCCACCTCATCAGAGGTGTGTCATAACATCAACACTTTGGAAAAAAGAAAGCCTGGGCACCTTCCCATATTCTTTAGTGCCACACCCAGCCAAAAAAGGAGGAGATCCATTGGCTACTGTGTGATGTAAGGCTTATTCTCGATTCCTCAAAAGTCTTTCACTTTGTTTTGCAAATTAAACATCATTAAGGCTGTAGGTATTCATAAAATGCTGCCTGTCACCAAGCATTCTACGAGCTAATATAAAGATATTTATTGTCATGGCAGAAATGTTCACATGCACGACCAGTTATGATTCATTTCACAACATCACACTGCTTTCCAAAGTGTGAAGGTACGAAAACAACATGAACCAGAACAAAAGCTACTGCAAGACGAAACTGGCCAAAACACAGCTTGCAGATGCTGGAGAATCTGAGAGAACAAGGTGTAGAGCTGGATGAACACAGCAGGCCAAGCAACATCAGAGGAGCAGGAAGGCTGACGCTTCGGGCCCAGACCCTTCTTCAGATTTTCTAATAAACCTAATACAGGTATTGAAAGTATGTTGCATATTTAAAGGTGCTTTCAGAAGTAATACTTAAAAAGTTCCAATGTATAATTTGAAGAGAAGCAGGGGGTTATCGCAACGTTCTGGTCAACATTTCTGTGGTAACTGGTATGCAAATTAGAAGCTTTGCTTACTAAACAACAGTGATTGTGTTTCAAAAGTAATACAGAAGTACATTTTGAGATCCCTCCTGACATGGCCAAACATTCAAATAGCCTCTTAATTCCCACAGATAGCCCTTTTTTTTTTTTTAGAAAACAGCCATAATCAACAACAATCCCTTCTTTTGGAAAGATGACTTCGAAAACACCATACAGAATAGAAAATACTGGAAGTACACAGCAAATATACATAATCTGTGTAGAGAGAAAGAGAGAAACAGAGTTAACAGGTAGGATTCTCCCCACACCACTGGGGTCCTGACATCAAGACCAAATTGGAATCGTCGCCTGCACTTGCTAGGAGCTTTTGTTTTCAGAGGCCACTTCTTTGAGGGATGGAGCCTTCAGCTCCAATGTCTCTGGAATGCCTCATGAAAGCAGTTTACATTAAGCTGATGGGCATTACAGTGAGCAGCAATTCCTTTCCACCCTGCAAAAATTTGTCTCTCGGTGGGAATGTATCAGGAAGCATTCCCAATGTGGTTCCCCACTATTTTCCTGATCCCACTCTGGGACCTGGAACATTTTGTCCCATATAATCAGATCCTTAAATTTCGCCAGAACTGTTTTGATGTAAGATAACAAGGTGTAGAGCTGGATGAACACAGCAGGCCAAGCAGCATCAGAGGAGCAAGAAAGCTTACATTTCGGGTCTGGACCCTTCTTCAGAAATCAGACCTGAAATGTCAGCATTCCTGCTCCTCTGATGCTGCTTGGCCTGCTGTGTTCATCCAGCTTTACACCTTGTTACCTCAGATTCTCCAGCACCGGCAATTCCTCCTATTTCTGTTTTGATGTAAACTTGAGTTGTTAACTTGGTTTCTCTCTCCATTGTTACTGCGTGACCCAAGTATTTCCAGCATTTACTGCTTTTATTTCAGGCTTCAAGCAGTATTTTGTTTTCTCATGGTAGACAAGGGAAGTTTGTCCAAAATGAATTGGTTAAAAAAATGAATAAAATTATAAAGAGTGGAGTTCATCTGAAATAGAATGGTGTTTTATACTGCCCAGATTTAGTGAATATTCCAAGGTTAGCATTACATTTTCAAATTTCAATACAGGAGTTTAAAAGCATGAAGCTTAAGTTCATGAATTTATTGAAATTATCCTCATAAAAGAATAAAGCTTATTGTTTACCACAAGAATTAAAAAATAAAATTATAGTAACATTTGTATCCTTGATCAAATGTTTTCCAAAGTATTTACATTGCTACACACTGATTTTAAGAAGGGTCATTTTATACGCAAAACATTAACGCTATTTTCCTCTACACAAATCCTTCTAGACCTGCTGAGTTTCTCCAGTGTTTTCCAGGTTTGTTTCAGAATACCAGAATCCACAGTATTTTACTATTATTTGATGATTTTTAGATTGTCCTCATAATACATGTTATAGCAGCCAAACTGAATATGGTGCAAGAATGAGTAACACGTGGACCAATTTGCAACAGAAATTTATAGTTCAGGTCTGCACATAGCTTACATGCAAAATCGACACCCATAATGGCAATAATTACATATCAGTTTCTTATTTGATTCATTTGTAATTTTTTTGTGGGGCGGAGCTGAAAATGGGGGAAGAAAAAGAAAGGGAAAATAAAACTGAGGCGGGTGTTATAACCAGATCTAACCTATTTAAGGCATGGTACACATTAAAAAGGGCACTAAAATTAATCATCACGGAATGCACAGAGTTCAATGTTCAGACTTTAAGAATGGGCCATACAAAATTCCCTGCACAATCTATGGAATTTCCAAATGAGTAGCAATTTGACTAACACAGCATACAGTCAGTCAGTCAGTCGCCATTTCTCTTTTGTAACGTGTAGCTGTCTGAGCCCTATTTTGTGAAGTGGAATTTCCAAGTGGGTGTGGTTGGGGAGTTAGGTACTTGGAATGTTTATACATTACACAAGTAAAATTTGATTCAACCAATTGCTGTTGGGACTTTTAGGGGAAGTTTTAATTTTAACAGACACCTACACTCTTCCCCATTTACAATATTTTCACATCCCCAGACACGTCAGCACTGAATCACTGAAAATACCTAAATTTCTGAATGTAGTCTGTACATTCTCTATTGGCAAATAACTCACGGAAAAAACAAACATGAATTCACAATTAATATTGTTCCCCACAGTGGAGACACGTATCTATAAATGTTCATGAAGGATTTTTTGGCTTCAATGCTTAGACTTTCTTAATGAATCTTTCAATCTTTTACTTCTTAAACTGAAAATGAAACTGCATGAGAGAGCTCTAGAAAGTTTCAGAATTATTTCAAATTGCTTTCAAAAAATGTATTGTTCATGAGCAGTATGAAGCACTATTATCTGTCCACAGTTAAGGAACAATACATTTAGGATTCAGCTGCTGTAGTGATTTTTACCGTAATATTGTGAAATACCTTGTACAATTTCTGCAAGCTTTCATACCTGAGAAACTGCCCAAATTTCAAATCTTTATGGGTGAATGTACAACTATTTAACAGCTGACACCAGCTGAAACACCTTTGCAAAAAATCCTAAACATTTTATTTGCACACATTCAATGCAAAATACATACATTAAATATATATAATCTTGAAATACTACGTACAAAGTAAAGCAATGAAATTTACAATTATATACAAATAAAGGTTTCATTTTAAATCAAATCTAATCAAACCAGATTACAATGGAGGACCACTGTACTAAGATGAATAGATCATTCAGTACTTGGCTCCTGAAGTAATCTACCTGTTCTTTTGTTTGGATATTAAAATATTACTTACACAGAAAATTTGCTTATTTGGAAGAATTAAATATTTGACTTTGAATGAAAAATTAAACATCAATTAATTGTTTGTCATTCAGCTAACTCCATTATGTTGAAACAGCCTCTACTACAACTTCAATTAATTTAAGCATCAAATATAGATACATAAACATTGTGCATAGACGCAGTATGATATCCACTAAACTGATGTTACATTTTAATGATTTAGTAGTATGTGACTATCTTTTTCAATCCTATATTCCATGGACAATGAGAGCTGATTAAATCCTTATTCTGCATCCAGATATTTTGTTGATGTGAAGGGCTGAAATTAAGTATTAGAAAGCACATAATCTTCCAACCATTAATCCTCTGGGCAATCAATATACATCCTCCCTCTAAAGTGCTAGTTCTTTTACGAGCAGTGTAGATTAAAGACATGACACCACTTTCAAAATTGTAGAAAAATGAGTTGTAAATCTTACCGTTTGTCTTCAAAGGCACAAGTTTCTTGACCTCTCTGCACCAGTTAAGGTTCCTGTTTTGCTGAAGGGCAGCCTCTTGGGCCTTGTCAAACAGAGCGTCTTGGATTTTAGTCCTGAAACGAAGGTTGAAATGACTCAGTCGGAATAGCTCCACCGTGTACCTGTGAAGGCTCCTGAAATGGTGAATCAAACCATTGGTGCAGTCCGGTCTGACTAGGTCATTGGCGATCCTCTCCCTGAGCCTCACCGTCTTCGTCAAGTTACTGGCGAAGAGAAACTGAGGCAACAAACTGCCTTCAGCTGCCATCTTCCACAGCAGCCCCTGAAGGAAATGGACAAAGTCAGTGAGTTCACATTAATGTTTGTTACACTCAAAAACAGCCAGCTCCTGATGAATGAAGCAATTAGGCAACTCACATTTAGAGTTTAAACAAAAATCAAGCATGCTGCAAACAGAGCACGCAAAAAACACCTGCTACTTGCAAGTCAGAAACAACATGTACCTGTTAAATGGGTTTTCAAACCCGTCTCGCTCTGGCCTTGTTTGAAGTGTGCGGAATCCCCTTCTTCTCTCGTCTTAAACTGCAAAGCTGCTGCAGGCTCTGGACTACACTCGCATTACAATGAGTTCGGTTTGCAGACACTTTTTCTCTCTCTCTATCTCCCCTCCCTTGGCGAAAGTCAGAAGACAGAAACTGAACAAGATGAAAAGGGAAACCACGTCGGGACTTTCCAGCGGGGATTTCCGACCAGACTCTGCTCTGACTTGTCCTGGTCACCGACAGAGGGAGCCCCGGAGCCCAGCTCACAGTCTATCTGAATCTCCCGCTTGTACAAAATCTAATCCCAGTTTGGATCACTTTTTTTATATATTAAAGAAAAGGATGTCTAAATATTCCAAAGCATTCATTTTAGACATATCTAATAAAGGCAAAATACTGCAGATGCTGGAAATCTTAATTAGAAGAAACTTTACCAAACTCGAAATGCTAACTCTGTTCCTCTCTCCAAAATGCTGACCTGAAGAGTTTTTTCAGCATTCCCTATGTCTGCATTAATTTTGGACGGCAGGCTGATATAGGGCAAATAAAAAAAAAAGCCGAGGTCAGAGTGCAGTGAAGTATCACATGTCATAATACAATATATTGCATTTGGCCTATTATTGCTTATTCATTTAGAGGAATCACATCATTTGAACTGGCTTATGAATGGCTTCAGGAATTTTGTTGCCACTAAAATGGCAACAGGAGTTCACAGAAAGTGAGATAACAAGGTGTAGAGCTGGATGAACACAGCAGGCCAAGCAGCATCAGAGGAGCAGGAAAGCTGACGTTTCGGGCCTAGACCCTTCTTCAGAAAACACAAAGTGAATTGCTTTTGCAGAGGGCCAACACAGACATAGCAGATGGAATGGCTTCTTTCTGTGATGTGATCGTTCAATAATATTATACCTGGAATTCTCCTCCATTCACTGATCCCTTCATGTAAATAAATTCTTCCGACTGTAGGAAGATAGGACCAGTTAGCCCTTAGGCCTGTTCCATTGTTTATAGTTGACAGTGACCTGGGTTTGCCTTTACTCCATGACCTTTATTACTTTTAACTATTGTAATGTATCAAACTTTGTTTTAAAATTTACAGTTGATCTCACATCAATTGCATTTTTCATGTAACCTCACTGTTAAGTGACCTGGCTTTAACTTTTTAGCTATTCCCCATGTCTTAGATTCTCCAACCAGTACATTGTTTCTGCATATCACTTCCCCTTAATATCTTGAAAATTTTGATCAAATCTCCCCAGCATCTTCTAAATTTCAGGGAATGAAACACTAGCTTATGTAATCGCTTATAAAAAAAAGACCCTAGAAATAATTTAACCCTTTGAGTTTATCTATCATTCTAGTAAATCCTTGTAAATTCCCACTGAACTCCCACCAAGGTCATTATATTTTTCCTTAGCTGTTGCACCCCAAACTGAACACATTGCTCCACGTCGATGTGCTGTGTCCAGAATTGGATGAAGAGAAATATCATGCTTCCTGCTTTTTGTGTGCTGGATTTATTGTCGATTTCTGTTGGCTAGCTGCTATTTGAAAAAGTGAACCAAATGTGTATGTTCCTCTCTGTCAGTACACAGCCTTTCCATTGGCAAGTATTCAGCTATATCTCCTCATGGAAACACATAGAAACCAGATCATTTATGACACCAATCTAAAGCTTCTGAGGAACTCAGAGGATGGTAAGCCCCCAGACATACAGTGAAGGGTAATCAGGGCCATCAGCATGTGGACATACCCTGGCATTCATGAACCAAGTTCCTAGTTATGCACAGATAGCTTCATTGCCTTGTGGCTACCTTGGAAGAGTTGAAGCCTAACATGAGTAATAAGATGACAAAACACCTCACGTGGAGTCCAAATCTAAACTGATGCCTAATTCTGTTTTTTCCTTGGGTGACTCCTGTGCCAAACTGGTGTCAAATGTGCATTCTTTTGGGCCCAAAAGGGGAGGGCAAGATTAGGTTTCCTGATTTTTGACAGCACAAGGTCTCAGTAAGTTTTGACTTGTGCTCTGAAGAAGACCTTACAGTTTCACTGACCAAAGAGTTGACCACCAAAGGCCCAAATCATTGTTTAATGAGGTAGGTGACTGTCAGAGAGATTCCGGGTATCATTTAAAACATGCATTTCTATCTGTGAAATAAAACTTACCCCCTTGTATTCTGATCCCCGATATAGAAAGCCAGTAGTCTTAAATTCATTTTCATTATTTTACACTTATATTCCCTGTCCCTATCATCAAGATATATACTGAAGAAATGCTCCAGGTTTACTGAATATCATTTAAAATCTTTGACACTTCAGTAAAATGAATTCACTTTAATTTTCTTTCAAGAGTAAAGACGTTATCTCGTGACATCCTAACGTTAAAGTTAACCTTTGGTTCCTATATTGGTACTTTTAGAGCAACCTGATGATGGTATGATAGAAGTTCAGAATATTATTAGTGAATATTTTTTATTAATTTATTCATGACATTTGGATGTAACTAGCTAGGCTAGCCATCATTAAACATTCCTAATCGACTTTGAGAAGATGGTTGTGTGCCACCATTTTGAATGTAATGAATAACTTGCTGGGCTATTTCAGAGAATCCTAAAAGCCAAATATTGCTATGGATCTGGACCCACTTATACACCAGTCCAGATTAGGACAACAGATTAAAAGCAAAATACTGTGGATGTTAGAAATCCAAGACCAACAGAGGGAACATTGGAGGAATTCAGCAGGTCTAGCAGCATCTGTGGAGAGCGAAACAGAGTTAACATTGAGTCCAGTCAGAAGTAGAGTCATATTAACTCTGTTTCTTTCTCCACCGATGCTTCCAGACTTCTGAATTTCTCCAGGATTCTCTGTTTGTTTTAGAACAACAGATTGCCCACTTTAAAGAGCATGAATGAGCCAGATCAATTTTTACAACAATCTGGTACTTTCAATAATTCACTATTCGCAATACAAGCTTTTAATTCTTTGGTGGGATTTGGACTCATGTCACTAGATCATTAATGCAAGTCTACTAGTTTATGACTTTAGTCACTAGTGCGCTAATGCATTTGTATACACAAATTCAAATGTACAGATTTACAATATAAATCTTTATTCTATAGTCTTTAGACATTTTTTCTTCTAAAACTCTTTATTCATAAAATTTGTCAATCAAAACATTTTACTTGAATATTCCAGAATTTGTAAGAAACTTCAACCTGTCCTAATAGATCATATTCTACTCAGTATGATTATAAATGCAAAGGCACATTTTGCTCGGAAGATGGACATTAGTATTTTACCTAACACAGCCACCTTGAGGTCAACGTATGGAGGTGATGAGACCCTGAGCATGTAGGAAAGATCCGACAAGTAAGGTCTTTATCACCACCATTCAAGCTGTGTTCTCAATGCTTGTTTGTAAATTCTGACAAAGAGGCATTATGCCAATTTCTGCTCAGGGAACTATCCAACAGGATCTTCCACCCCCTTATACTTCTCCCCTGTGGCTGCCGTGTTAATCCTCTTCCTTAAACTTTAAGTCTTTACCCCTACTCTTTTAAGATCACCCTGAAAAAAACACCTCTCTCAAAGTCTGGAGACATGAGTTCAATCTGGCTCATTAATGTTTTTTAAGGAAGGCAATCTGTTGTCCTAAAACAAACATAGAGAATCCTGGAGAAACCTGTCTATGTTCAAGTAAAGAGAATGCTCTGCACTAATAGTTCTTAGCTCAGATAATGCAAAATCAAATAATACATAGTACAGTACTGACACTTCCACATTCAGATAATGTAACAATCCCAAGGTTAAATAACACACAACATTGACATTCCTGTGTTCTGGTTCCCTGTAGCACAACTGTAATTGCATACATGGAAATAGTGATGCAGTGATAATGTTATTGGACTAGTCATCCAGCAGTCTCAGTTAGTACTTTGGAGCTATATAGGTTCAAATCCACATTGACAGTGGTTGGAATTTAAATTCAAATAATCTGGAATTGAAAGCCGGTCTCAGCAATAGTGACCATGAAGCTATCATCAATCATTGTAAAAACTCATCTTATTCACTGATCCCTCATTGAGAAGGAAATCTGCTGTTCTTACTTGGTCTGGTTCTTTTTGTGACTTCAGACCCATCCCAGTATGGATTTATGAAGTAGAAATCATGCTTGACAAATCTGTTGAAATTCTATGAAGATGTAACACGTAGTGTTGACAAGGGGGAGCCAGAAAGTGTTTGACAAAGTCCCACATAAAACATTAATGTGGAAGATTAAAGTGCATGGGATTGGGCAAGTGTATTGAGATGGATAGGAATATGGTTGGCAGAGAGGAAACAAAGAATAACGAACCAATGGTTTCTTTTCAAATTGGCGCCGCAGTAACTAGTGGGGTGCCACAGGCATCTGTGCTGGGACACCAGCTATTCACAATATATATTAATGATTTGGATGATGGAACAAAATGTAACATCTCCAAATTTGCAGATGATACCAAGCTGAGTAGGAGGGTGAACTGTGACGAGGGTGCAGAGATCCTTTAGCATGATCTTGACAGGTTGGGTGAGTGAGCAAATCAATGGCAGATGCAGTGTGATTTGGGTAACTGTGAGATTATTCACTTCGGAAGCAAAAACAAGAAGGTAGATTACTACCTGAATGGCTGTAAATTGGGAGAGGGGAGCGTGCAGTGGGACCTGGGTGTCCTTGTGCATCAGTCACTGAAGGTAAGCATGCAGGTGCAGCAGGTGGTAAAGAAGGCAAATGGTATGTTGGCCTTCATTGCGAGAAGTTTCGAGTACAGGAGCAGGGATGCATTGTTGCAGTTGTGCAGGACCTTGGTTAGACCACACCTGGAATATTTTGTGCATTTTTGCAGAAACTACTTGCACAGAAAGTAGTGAATGCCAAAACATTGAATGTATTCAAGAGGCAACTGGATATAGCACTTGGAGCGAATAGGATCAAAGTTTATGGGGAGAAAGCAGGATTAGGCTGTTGAGTTGGATGATTAGCCATGATTGTGAAGAATGGTGGAGCAGATGTGAAGAATGGTGGAGCAGATGCGAAGGGCTGAATGGCCTCCTCCTGCTCCTTTCTTCTATGTTTCTATGTTTATCCCAATGTAGCTGACTCTTAACTGCCTTCTGAAGTGGTGTAGTATTCCATTCAGTTCAAGCAAAATTAGGGATGGGAAGAAAATATGAGCCTTATCAGAGAAGACATGAAAGAATAAAGAAATAA